CGAAATTACGACGGCTCACAAGCGTCTGTGTTTTGCTTTCTCTCTCTCTCTCTCCTTTTTTTCCTGCTTGCTCTGTCTCCTTTCTCCTTTTTCTCCCACTCCTCGCGCTTCCGAAGGCCAAAAAGACAAGCAAAACCTGCCGCAGACGAAGGCTTTTGGGATTGTAGCGTTTGCACCTTCAGAAACAGCGCCGAAGCCTTTAAATGCAGCATCTGCGACGTGAGGAAAGGCACCTCCACCAGGTACTTGAAGATCTGTGTTACCTTTTGTTAAAGGACATTTTTTTTTTTTTTTTAACGTGGGGAAGAAAGGTAGTGAGCTATACTTTCCACCCTCTTTGCAACTTGTTGATTACGGACGGCTTTCTCTCTCTATCTGGGTTGGGGTGAGGTGTTTTGGTTTGTGTGTATTTCGTGTTGGGTGCAGTGCTTCATGTTCACTAAATGATTTATGGAAAGGAATTTTCCCAGCTTTTCCTATTTCAGACAAACACTGAAATTGACACTTGCATCCTTTGGCTTGTTGGTATTGGCTCAGAAATAGCGGAAGCAATTCTATTGCTGTTGCTTATAGGACACTGGACCTTTATATTTTGCCCTGTGAAAAATGGTTTTGATTTGCCTGAGTTATTTTTCTCTTCGCCTAAGAAATTTAATGGTGATAGTGCAGTAAGGCTGATTGTGCCTTTCCTGTCCCGAGCTGCAAATGTCTTTTTTTCTTGCATTGAAAAATAAATCTTGGGGTTTTAATAAAGTGTATTTTTGGAAGACTAAGTTGTAAATTTACTTGATTAGGTAGAATGGTGAGGGTTTTGTAAAATGATGAATAGATCATAGCAGTTTGTCTTAAGGCTTCATTATGATAAATGTTGACTTTTCATAGTGATAAAGGTAGTAAACTACATATGGTATGAAAACAAACGACTATTTTAGATTTAATGTTTCAGTATACTTAGGATGAAATATCAAAATTGATTTTGGGGTCTCCTAGTCATCTGAATGTTTATTCTGAATTTCATTGGTATTAAGAGTTTGAAGTGAAACTTTTTGGTGTCACTTAGTGGACAGGCATTGGCTCAGGGATGAAAATGAGACAGTTCTTATTTTTAAAGTTGGGTGCCAGAACTCTCATCAGGTACTTGGTTTGGAATTGGTGGTGGTCTGGTATGACCGTTGTGTAGTGCTCCACAAATCCAACAAGATGTTGTTTTGAGTGACCCTCCAAGGTTTCATTGCTTTATTTGTATTTGGGATTAAGTTAGGGTATCAGACAACCTAAAGACATAAACTGGGATCGATCGGCCCATTTACTGGTAGAAATGTTCTGTGAGTTCCACTAACTTCAGGAGAGGTTTGAATAAAACAATTTAGTCTTCTCCCAAAGTAGTTTTTTTCTTTAAGTAAATTCTTGTCAACTTTTTGTCATAGATTTAGTTAAAATGAAAAACCTAAATTGGTGGTTTCATAGATTTTGTTTTGCTATTTCAAATAGGGGATTCCATTAGATGGCATGAGAGTTTAGAAATGTATGTTACTTAAAGCAATAGTGATTGTATATTATTTATGAGTAATGTTTTTTACATGTAGAGTCCCTCAGAGGCCAAACCTCTTTATTGTGGTTTTCTTTAAGTGTTATTGTAGATGATGTTCAAGTAAATGACTAGGAAACTCATAGGAACTTGAGAGCCTTACTGGTAAAGAGAAACTTAAACCAAATTCAAAAGTTTACATCTAAATTATTGCTGGGAATAATTATAATGAAATGAACTTCAATTTTTACACATATTTGAGAAACTTGACTCACCAACTTTTTTGGAAGCACTTGGAGGGTTTTGACTTTTCCAGTGTTTAGACTTTTAAGAGCCACAGATGATAACAGTGAAATTCAGTTTTTAAACAAATACATTGTTAAGGTGTTTTATTTCTTTGGTGGAGGCAGGACCTTGCTATGTACTTCAAACTGGCTTTGAACTCACTGTGTAACCCAAGTTGGCCTTGAATTGGTGATCCTCCTGCCTCACCCTCTCAGTTGATGGGATCACAGGTGTGTGCTACCACACCGAACTATTCAGGAAAAAGGAACTCACATTATATATTTAGGGTGCTGATGTAATTTTTTCATGTCTGCCATTGAGTAGGATTTGAACATAATTTCACAGGTCTGAGTACTACACTATAATTTCAAGATCCTTTTATGTAGCCTAAATTTATTTTATTTTGGTTATTGTCAATACTTTAGTGTTTTAGATCTTCTCAGAAGTTATTCATTAGAAATGCAAATAATATTTTGTCTTTCTTATATTGTGGATGGGCTTAATGTGGGCAAATGAATTTGATAGGTTTTCATCCTTTCCTATCCCTTATAGTTCCTTGGTTAATTTGTTTTACTGTCTTTTTGTTGTGCTTTTTCTTGGGCCTTTTTCTTGCAATTATTTTGGTACATGAGCAGTTTGGGTGTGAAACAGACATTTTTCTGACCTTTATTGTATTAGTCAGACTTGGTTGATGGCAGTAGAATATTTGTTTTTTGCAAAACTGGAGATCAAACCTAGGGCCTTTGTTCATCCTAGGCGCGAACCCTAACATTGAAATACAACCTTGTATTTGGGTTTTGGATGAGGGATAATAGGCAAAATTTTTGATTTTAGAATAATTTGTTGACTGATAGAAGCTGTGTTTTCTTGCTCTAGTGGTTTTTGTTTTCACAGCCTTCACCAATTGGCTAGCTTGTGGTGGTTTGGCGGTTTTTTGCCGCGGGGGAGTATCAGGGATCGAACTTGGGACCCTGTGCTTGGAATGCAGGGGAGAGAACCACTGAGCTAAATTCCCTGCCCCTGTGTGGAGTTTTTGATAGTTACTGTCTTTATTGTCACCAGCAAAAACAGCTTTAAAGTAGTGGTAGTCCAGTAGGATACAGGGCTGTAATGGCCCTTTGAAGATAGAGTTAATATTCCTTAATTTGGTTAAAGAAATAGCACCATTCATCCAAATAACATTTATTAAATTCCTAGGAAGTAGAAAATACTGCTGAAGGCATTGGTGGAAGCGGGGGGGAGGGATAGTGTTAACAGGGTGTCAGGACTTGAACCCAGATGAATATAATCCAAATCACAAAGACCCTCCAAGTTAATGGATCATCTGCACTATGTGTGGGGGAGGTACATAGAGGGATGGCTTTGGAAACCGGTTAGAAGGATCACTTTTCTCCATTTTTTTGGACAAGGACAATTTCTATAAAATCACCTGCTAGCTCTTCATATGTACAAGCATGTGTGTCCGATATTTTTTAAGTCTTCACGTGTAATTATGAAGGTGATTCAGAAATGAGGACTTAATGTACTTTTTGGAGCATCGTAGAACAGGGAAAAAGGAACCACCAAAAGTCCTAAGGGATATATATGTTAAGGGGAAAAGGAGGGAATTCAGTATGTATTGTCTACTTGGACTGGACATGGTGGTGTGCACCTGCAATCCCAGCACTCCGGAGAATCACCAGGAGTTAGATGTTAGCCTGAGTTACTAGTGAGTTAAAAACTAGCCTGAACAACATAGTGAGACCATATCAAAATGGAAATAACAACAACAACAACAAAACACTCAAAATATGGTCTACTCCAAAGTGCTCTCTGAAAGAGATATGTATTTATATTCTAGATGTATCATCAAGTATGTGCTGTGTGTCTGGTATAGTATTTTTTGTTTGTTTGTTTGTTTGTTTGAGACAGGGTCTCACTCACTATGTAATTGAGACTGACCTGGAACTCACTATGTAGCCCAGTCTGGTCTCAAACTTGCAGCAATCCTCCTGCCTCAGCCTCCTGAGTGCTGGGATTATAGGCATGCGCCAACATGCCCGACTGGTACAGTATTTTGTTAAATTCTTCCAAGTGTATTGTCCTCCTCTGTTGCCCTTGCTTGTTATTACTTATTTAAAGCTTTGTTGAAGCATGGGTTACATACTATAGGTAGTATTTACCTGTTGTGAATGTAATTAAGCATTTTTTTTTCTTTTGGTACCAGGGATTGAACTCAGGACTTGGCACTTGCAAGGCAGGCACGTGCCACTGAGCTAAATCCTTGGCCCTAATTAAGCAATTTTTAAAGTCATTTTAAAGAGTTGAACAGCCATCACCACAATCCATTGCCATCACGTTAGTTTTGATTCTCTCTGCACATAACTTCCATATGCTCTAAAGCCTTTTAACATGGGCACATGGCAGAATCTTATGCAACCAAGGTTGTTCTTCCACAATGTGTATATATTCTAAAGCCTTGCAAGGTGGAAAAGGAGCATGCACATGTGCATGTGTGTAAGTGTGTAAGATAGCATGTTAGTGGGAAAGAAACACTATCCCTTTCTTAGGTGAAAGCCAAAGTAGTATTTCTCATCCTGCTCTACAAGCCTTGGAAAGAGGATGCCAGCTTTTAAAGGAAGAAAATAAAAGCCTACAAATGTACAAATTTATCTAACTGTTCTGCTAAATTGAAATTCTTGAGTGTTGGGCAGAGTAACTTTGTAGACCTGGTGATAAAAACACTGCGTTTTACTTTTGTGGTTTTGCTATTTCTCTGAATGCAGTGTCTATAAAGTAAAAACTAGCTGGGCATCATGGCACATGCATTTGGGAACCAGAGGCAGAATGATCTTGAATTTGAGTTTAGCCTGGGCTACATGGTGAGACCCAGTCCCAAAACAAAACATTGCCATATATTGATGTGTTTCTTTGCCAGTAGAGGAGATGTGTTTTTACCTTCAAGTACTGTTTAAACTGTGTTCCCTTGAAAAATTGGAGAATTTTTACTTTGATTACTGTAGATTTGGAACTTTTCTTAACTGTAGATTTTATTGTGTTGAATCGATATCATGTTTTATTTAATACTTCGTTAATTGAATACTACTATGAAAATTTTATTTATTTATTTATTTTTTTTTAAGAGCTTTTCTTTTTTCCTTTTTTGGGAATAGGTCTCATTCACTGTGTTAGTCAAAGGTGGCCTGGCATTCATGGTGTAGCCCAGGCTAGCCCAAGCAGTCCTCCTTCCTCGGCCTCCCGAGTGCTGGATTTATAGGCATGTGTCATGTGCTTGGCTGTTTTCAGAGCTGTAACTATAAACACGTAGAAGTAAGGGATGTCTAATAATATGTCTACTTTGATGTCTGATACAATGTCTCACTTTAAAAAAAGTTGATATTCAGGATGATAAATTGAGAGGGTTGAGGGAGCAGATGTTTTGTGTACAAA